ATTGTATGGGTGTGATGTGGGTACCAGTGTTTATAAATGGGATGTGATGGGTACCAACTGGTGTTCACATACATTGTATGGGTGTGATGTGGGTACCAGTGTTTATAAATAGGATGTGATGGGTACCAACTGGTGTTCACATACATTGTATGGGTGTGATGTGGGTACCAGTGTTTATAAATAGGATGTGATGGGTACCAACTGGTGTTCACATACATTGTATGGGTGTGATGTGGGTACCAGTATTTATATAATGGGGCATAGCAGGTATTAGAATTTATGCAATGGGTCATTTACAGTATAAAATATCAACATCTCATATTGATAAGTATATTTTTTTTATCATTTTTGTAGGAACAAGTTCAACAGTCAAATGAAGCACAAGGTAAGGAGAACAACTTATGTAGATTGTACTTGATGATAGTGTAGTCCCTAGTGACAAAGTGCTTTTGTCACATCAATAGATGTAATGGTAGTCTGGTTTAGAATATAGCAAACCTCTCAAAAACTTGTAACTTCAAAATTGGTCGTTATTGGTTGAAGCGGGAAGCTGAGGCCAATATCTGCCATTTAGGGATGACAATTCTTGATATTGACTGAAGTCAATAACAATAACTGTTTTATTCTCCCGAAAAATTACAATGTGGCAGTAAGTGAGGTAAAATGCAAACTTTCTTTCAAATGATCATTTGACCACTTTTGTCCAATAACTTTGACTGTCTTGTACAAGTCCCTTACATCCATTGTTTTTTTGCTAGAGGACACGAATAATAGGAAACCATGTACAGTGTTTTGTATTGTGAAGCTTTTTGATCGCATGTTGGCCCATTGGTTTTTGCCACTGTTATTTCTTTTGTAAACATCTACTGGTAGTATGGATTGCTCAGTAATGAATTGTTTGGTTCTCTTACAGGACAGGCACGCGAGGTAGATCCAGGCATGGTTCCAATGGAAGAGAGGAACTCAGTAGAGATGATGAATAGAGGTAATTAAGATATTTCTGATGAAACAATTTGATGCTGTACCCAATTAAATGATAGCATACCCAATAGGTGATATCACTTGCAACAAAAATATATCTGCCTTTGATTTCTGAAATATAAAATATTCCACACAAATTTTGTGTCAATGTAAGATATTGAAAATTAAAGTAATATATTTTTTTCAAAAGTGATTGAGCAGTTCAACACAGCTTATAATGTATTTGTTTTTGTTTTAGAGAGAGCGAATGAGCAGTACAATGCAGCTGGTGTGGTAAGTCTGACTTTTACTATGGCTGTTTGTGAAGGTCAAACTTCAGCATGTACAATGTATTCTGATAGTTGTAATATTTTGCCAACTTAGAAAGTCTTCATGAAGAAAGCACAAACAAACAAACCACTGTTATCTAAAACCTCTAGTCATGTTGCTTAGATGAAATCTAACATTGTGATTAGTGTTGATTAAAATTAAACAGTGAAAGTTTCTTTGTTTGCTATTGGTTATATATTTATTCTGTATATTGTCAAATTACTGTTGATGTATTCATATACATACTTGGTTCCTGTCATCAATGAACTTGATGCAAGAGCAATGCTAATGCTAATAAATGTCTTTGACAATTCTAGCAGTTATTTTTGGTGCAATATAGTTGTAATTAATGTTATCCTCTAGTAGAAAGTAAAAACAAATCTTGCCTGCCTGCCTGAAGGGGGCGCTGTTCATATTGATAATGCTTGTCATAATGGTGTACATATTAAATGGTGGAGGTTTTGCATGATTTAATTGCAGGAAGAAGGTAATGAAAAATTATTATTTGAAGATAAACAAGAAAATGAAGGTAGTTTAAAGAATGTCTTCCTCATTTGCATGACTTGTGTTACTTGTGTACATGTTGCATGAATGGATGCTTTGAGTTAAATTGCCTACAATGCAATAGTAATTACATTACTGTAAAATATTTCATTTTTGCTTGGAATTAATTTCGCTATTTTCGCTGAAGGAATGATTCAGTGAAAATAAAATCCAGCGAAATATATTCAACTCATAAAAATCAGTGAAATCAAATTCCATACAAAACACCCAAAAAGTCTGTTCAGCGAAAATTAATTCCAGCTACATTATGCTGAAGAATGACACCATGATTGTTTTACAATACTGGTGTTTATTATCTGATTTCTCAGTATGTTTTGGAGTGGAATACTATTGCATTGTGAATAACTGTTGCATGTACATATGTCTTATTTAATTCATTATTAGAAAAATAAATTCTAACATTGCAGTTTAGGAAAAAAGATTTTACTATTACTAATTAAATTTTCTGATTGATCTCATTGATGTGAAGCAAATGATTTTTAATTAACACAAGCTATCTACCTTAAAGTTGTATTGTTGGGAAAACTTAGTTGAAAGAGTTACAGCATTCACAAGTTTTACTTTTGTATTGTGTCATTTTATTTTCCAAGTTATTATTTGTCGTTTTTTGACTACAAAAAATACATGTACTGTCATGCAGTGATGTCTGGATTCTGCTTTGGGTGGACTAAACACTAGACTAGGAAGTAGTGCAGTGCTAGCATGAGTAAAACCAATGAAGAGTCTGGTGTGCATCGCAGACTAATTAATCTTAATGGAAAATGTTTCACATCCAATATTGATTTTGTAATATAGTGCACCGTTGATCAGAGAATCTTGTGTGCAATTCAGTAACTTGATGACACCCCGAGATGCTGAAAAG